GGCGGGGCTGGGCTGGAAGCGGGACAGGTTTTGCTTCGCCCTGGTACGGCGCCCTGCGCACTTGGCTGTCCTTCCTTCCAGGCAACCTTTCAGCCCAGATGGAGAGCGCCATGAGGAGTTTTGTCTCCTTCCCAAAACACATGACACGTTCCCTGCCTGTCTAACAAGGGGTCGGGCTGCGCCGCAAGGAGCAACCGGCTCTGCGGGAGCCATTCGTGCTCCTTCCCTCGGTGGGGGGCGGCGGGGAGCTCTCTGCCCCCGCATGCCCCGTGCCCAGCCGGGGCGCCTTGTGCTGGGGGACTCTTTGCGGGTGCATGGGGGACGCTTTGCGGGTGCATGGGGGACGCTTTGTGGGTGCATGGGGGACGCTTTGCGGGTGCACGGGGGATGCTTTGCATGGGGCACTGTGCCCGGGAGGCACCGTGCATCTGCCCCGCAGCAGACACGGGGCCATCCTGCGCAGAGCATGCAGGGAGTAACTCAGCTAGGGGCCAGTGTTAGCCCCGGGGCTGGTGCAGATGTGCACGGTGAAGGGCTGTCCCAAAATGGCCAGGCTGGGGCTGCCGGAGCTCCCCTGGGGGGTGGCTGCTGCCTGAGCACCCTCTCCTTGGCATGGGTGCAGCATGGAGGAGGCTTAGGAGCTGAGGGGCAGGTCTGGGATGCAGCCCAGCTGGGGCTGCTCACCCTCACCTGGGGCTGGTTCCAGAGAGCCATTAAAAAGGGCCTGGGCTGCCCCTCCCAGGAGGCTGCTGGTGCGAGGGGGCTGCCCATGGGGGGTCCCTGGGGATGGCAGACGCTGGGCTGATGCTGTGCGAGTGGTGCGTAGCTGTGGGCTAGCAGGGCTGGCTTGCGGGAGGGTTTCTTAGTAGCCCCTGCTGCCTGTGTGAGCAAACTTGGGGTGCCTGGGGCTGGCTGCACCCCTGCTGTAACCAGCACCCAGGGCAGCGCAGGACCATCCCCAGCAAGGGCTCAGCTCCCTGGGGGGCCACAGTGAATTGTGCCAGGCTGGGGCAGCCCCGGGGCCGGGGTCTGCATAGGGCGATCTCCTGCCCAGCCCTGAGCTGCGGGGTTTCAGTTTGGTGCTGTCTCCCTGGGGCGATCCATAGGCACATCTGCAAATGGCTTGTTATAAAACACAGCTGCAAATGTCTTAAACCTCTCTTTTATTTCTAAAAATAGCCCTGCTTGGCCCTCGGGAGGTTCAGCTCTCATGGCTCCCACCCTGTCCCTGCAGCAGCCGTGATGGGAGCTGGAGGACCGCTCGCTGCCTGTGTCCCGGCTGGTCTCTGCTGCTCTCGCCAGCCCCAGGAAGATGAGGCAATGCCTTTCCAAGGTCAGATTCATCCCATGGGAGAAGTGCTTGGTTTTCTGGGGGGGGTGGGTGAGTGATTTCTGATGCCAGCAACCTGCCCATTGCATCCCTGTGCCAAAGGACTGATTTGAGACCCAGCAAAAGGCTAGGGAAGGCTCGGGAGAGAAGCAGCACTGGGCTGTTTATGCCCCCTGCCATAGAAGCAGAGTTTTGCACCGACACCTTTAGTGTTTGTACCTCTTGCTGTGCCGGAGCCTGTGTGCCACCCGGGGCTTGGCCAGGGCTCAGCGATGGCTGCCCACCTTGTCCGTGGTGAATGCGAAGCACGCGTGTGGCTCCGACGCTGCCTGGAGCAGTTTGTTTTTCCGCCAGCGTGCTGAGGCTGTCCCGAGCACATCTCTGCATGTCCCGGGGTGGCTGCTGTGAGCTGCTGTCTCGGGAAAATCCCAAGGGATTGGGGATGGGGAAGAGGGTCTGAGTGCAGCAGGAGCAGGCAGGGGTGGCTGTGGGGATGCCCGGGCACTGGGGCGAGTGGGTGCCAATGGAGGGAGGAGCTGCAGCCAGGGTTTCTCTGGCGTGTAAAACCAGACTTTTCATCCTCTGCTATGAAACACAGCCATAGTTTTTGCTTTACAAGTGTGATGGTTTATAACGGCATGAAATTACAGCCAGAACTGATCGGCCTGGCAGCAGATAAGGGAGGCTGTTGAGTACGGTGGTGTGTTCTTACCCAGGGGGATTGGAAGGATGGAGGCTGGCAGCCCCAGATGAGCCGGCTCCAGGCTGAGCTGCCTCTCCATTCTGTCCCCAAGGGATGGTGCTGGGTGCTCCCAGGGGCGATGGCTCCGCTCGCTGCTGCAGGATTAGACCTGGCAGTGATGGAGATGGGGAGGCTGGAAAGGGCTGGGTGAGATGTGCACTCAGAAACCCCCAAATTTGGAATGAACGTGTGGCCTGCCCAGTCCAAAGCATGCTTAGTCACAGCCAGGGGCAGTCACAAACTGATCTGGCTCCCACTGACATCCGCTGGGAAAAGGTGGAAAACTGTGGGTCTGGGGATGAAGTCGTTGCTGTTTCAAAAGTGAAGGGCTAATTTGGCAAGCGTTCGATGTAATCACCATTCCCCTAATTACCTGGGGAGGGGGAGCTATACGCCTGCGATGTGAAGCCATCCACAGTGGCACGGGTCGGATGCACGCGAGCCCAGAAGAGCAGAGCTTGAATGCGTGTGTAGGGATGTATGGACACCGTGCGTGCAGCACAGAGACCCCCGTGTGTGTCCCCATCGCGTGTCACCCCGTGTGATGTGTCCTGGTGGCTCACGGGGCCTGGCCCTGGCAGGTCCTGTGCTGGGCTGTGTGCACGTGAGGGCGATGGGGCAGTCGCTGGGCATGAGGATGCGCAGCCCCGCGTCACGGGGACCTTCCCCAGCTGCCTGCATGGCTTTCTGGGTCTGAGGAGGAGGCGAGGAGGAGGAGTATCAGCCTTCATGCCTGGAGCCAAGGGCCTAAGTGTGTAACAGCAGTAATGCAATGTCTGTAATCACAGACAGTGATTTTTCTCATATGGTTCTCCAAAAATTAAGACTTTTTTTGCAAAGCCTTTGCATTTGCTTCCTTTTCTGTACATGTGGTGGCAGATTTGTGCAGTGTACATGCCCCTACTTGGCGCCGTCTCTGTTCTGTGCCTGCAAGGCCTCTGCGATCATCAAAAGCTTCTTCCCTGCACGTAAGAGCCCATGTGCGATGCTCTCCAACATCCTCAACGAGCCGTTCTGCCCAAGGCGGGGGCTGCCTCTCCGATCAGCTCCCCTTCTTCCCAGAGCTGGTAAAAGCTGCGGTGACACGAGAGGGCTGAAGGGGAGGGCAGCACACGGGGGATTGCTGCTCTGGGCAGGCACGGAGGGGGCTGCGTGCCCCTAGCCTTGCTGCTGGCTCCTGGTGGGCCTTCACTCGCTCCTCCTCTTCTGCAAAGGCTGCTGCGTGCCCCAGTGCTGTGAGGAGCATCTCGGTGGCCATTGCAAAGCCTGGATGTTGGCAAGAGGGGCTGCAGAAGACCCACTGAACCTCGAGGAACGTACTGGCTCCATGTGGTCCATCTGTCCGCCCTGCAGCTGGTGGGGATGAGCCATTTGGTGCAGCATGGTCATTCGGGCTGGTCCTGCCATTGCCCGTTGGACTGGGATGTGCCCAGGGGCTTGTGCTCCAGCCCTGCTGCACCAGTGCAAGTGCTGGGGAGCAGAGCCAGGCTCTGGTCCCCGTGTGCCAGGGTGCTGCCAGTGGCATGGGGGCTGGCGGAGGGCAGGGCTGCTGCAACGCCAGGCGGGCTGCACGGCGGCCTAAAAAGGTCCTGCCAGTGGCACGGGGGCTGGCGGAGGTCAGGGCTGCTGCAACGCCAGCCGTGCTGCACGGCGGCTTCTCGGGCTTTTACGTGCAAAGGCTGGCACCAGGGCGGGTGGGAGCTCCCTGGCCGAGGCTGCTCCTGCCCTCTGCAAAACTCAGAACAAAGCTCTTTGGGGATTGCCAAGCCTGTGCTTCAAGGATGTTACAGAGCGATGCTTGCGCGCTCTCACAAATTGCTAATTAGAGTTGAATTTGCAATGGTGTGTGGTCCCCGTGGCTGCTGTCTTCAGGGTGCGGTGCCAGGCTCCACGACGGAGAACTGTGTTGCTACCAATGCCGCTCTGTGCAAGCTTCCTCTCTGCTCACAGCCGTGTCCCACACCTCCCTAAAAACCAGTCATTCCTGGCATTTTCTCACTTTCACAGGCTCTTTTCCACTCCAAACAAAAAGGTCTCAATTTACTCATCACGGCTCTAATTCTGTTTGCAAGCTGTGGGTGTTGATCAGAGGTGGGTTAGCGAGGCCCAGGAAGGATTCCTGGCGGAAGGAGCGGTGGTTTCCAGCAGAAATGCCTGTGTGTGCTGGGTGGGATTGATTTCATGGCGCAGAAGCCCCTGCCTGGCCTCCTGCGGTGCGCAGCACTGCGGAAAATGCACTTATTCGCACATTAGCCAGCTTCTCTGCTGTTCAAGCCTTCCAGGTATTTCTGGTCCCTTCCCATCCTGCCATCTGCTTTCATCCCCTTTCATCCCACTGCCCTTGCGCCTTCCCATTTCCGAGCCGCTCTGCTTCCCTTCCCCCGGTGTTTTGCAAGAGAGGAGATAAACAAGCGGAGGGGTGGCACGGGGATGGCACGGCTGCGGGGCTGGGGGATTGTGGATGCTTTTCCAGGCGGCTGCGGCGTGTCAGCCTGACCTTTTCAGTATGCAGCCCCGAACAGCCCTGGCAGAGGCTGCTCCCCCCTGCACGCAGCTTTCCCGGCGCCGCAGCACTGGCGCTGCCGGAGAGGGGGCCCATCCCAGCACCTGGATTAGTGGTTTTGGCTCAGAAAGCCTGGAGACCCATGGTGTAGCAGCAGGCGCCTTCCTGGGACCCGCCGTGCTGTCGGTGGGGCGAGGGTGT